TGGTATAGGGACCTTCCGGTTTTTGGATCCACAGAGGAACCGACTAATCCGGAATCGAGCCGGGTAGGACCACAAGGGCGGCAAAGCTCTCCCTCAAGAGTTTTAACACTGTTGCATTCTTAGGGCTCGAACACGAGATCACTGGTTAAGCTGGAAGAGACCAAAGTCATCTAATCCAATCGCTCTTGGGTCAAATTTATGTTGGATTAGTTAATGTAGAATAAGTAAGTGGATTTACCGCGCTTAACACCTTTTTAGTGCCAAACTTATTGACTTCAAAGTCAAGAAATGATGATAAACATAAGCAAAGGTTCAATTTTTCTTAATATACCAATTGTTGACATTTTTTCGATAATTAAGAAATTAAGGTATACGAATTATTAATTTCACTATGATAACAATCCATCGCTAGGTATTGACACATCGGGTACGACAAGAGTAAAACCGACGTCATTCCTCGAAGATAGAATTACAACACGATCATCATGTCGTATCATCCGAGGTCTCTTGACAGCCATAACCTTGTTAATCGAGATCTATAAGAGTCGACTTTCAAAAAATAAGGCGGTGGGGACTCATCTGATCATCATGATCAAAATGCACCTAGCGGGATACCGCCTCTAAAAAGTTACTTTACATTAAATGTGATCACACCTACCTTGTACGGTGGGCTAACCGCTCTATAAATAGCAGATTTTGTCATTTGTGACGGAGACCTTTTTCTTTTTGACTCTCAAGAACCTTGTAATGTACATCAAATGTTCTAATAAAATCCGACGTCATTCACAACTTAAACCGACGTCTTTTACGCTTGACAATCTTTTAATTTTTCATTATCTTGAGATATTATGACTTAATTATCGTTGTTAATTCTCGTTTAACAACAACAATCACTGGTTTATACACGGACAATGCTAAGGTTCCGTTACGGAACCATTTCGTCGGGGTTTGTAACCGTTCTATCATAATGTAACCGTCAGATATATTAATCTAACGGTTACATACCCAAACGGAACATCTTCCTATAGTATGTGTCTAAAGTAAATAGCCTTTAAAATTCAAAATTGAACTTCGTGAAAACATCCACAATGGCCTTGTTTGGTAGATGGCGGTTAGCTGTTAGTTGTTAGCTGATTGTAACAGCTATTTTGACCAGCAGATTGTATCAGCTGATTTGACTAGCGGATAGTAATAGCGGTTTTCAAAATTATGTTTGGTAAAAATAGCTTATTGATTTGTAAAAATATATTTCGGATTATTAATTTCAATTTTTTATATATAAAAATATACATTTTTTATACTCCTTTGTTAAATTTTATACTCATAAAAATTATTTTTCAATATAATAAGTATTTTTAAATTATTTTTTTATATTTTTTATAGTAAAAGTAATAAGTGAAATAAAAATACAAATTAAACTTAAAAGTAAGCTATTTTTTCATATTTTTTATAGTAGAAGTAATAAGTGAAATAAAAATATAAATAAAAACCTACAAATAAATGATTTCAAAATACTAAAATAATATTTGAAAAAAATAAATGACACAAATAATACTCTTGTTATCTTCCTAACAAAAATATAATTTTTTGCTGCACTTAAAAAATGATGTGGTTTAAAATCACATCCCCCTACCCTCACTATAAATAAGTAAATTACCATGCAAGCTTTAAAAACAAGAGTCCGTCAAAATTGAAAGACTCAAATGAATTGTCAACGGGATAATTAAATAAATTCAAGCATTAAAATTCCAGCCGCTGATATCAAACGCTCCAAAGAGAAGCGTTTTGAAAAATAGTGTTTCAACCAAAAAGCTGATATAAAACAGCTGAAAACCAAACAACATTTTTTAACGGGTCAACAAGTCAAAACTGTCAACTTGGTCAAACAACCAAAAAAAGCTTGAAAAGCCAATAAACAAACAAGGCCAATATCATTTTAGTTAAAACAACTTATTAGGCCATCTCCAACCGAATACACCAAACTCAAACTCATTTTGCAGTACACATCCCATTTTGCAGTAATTCATCTCCAACCGAAAAACCTATTTTCCAACCCAAAAGAATATTCTCGGAATATTCTCTTTTACATCAACTTTCACAACTTTTCAATACTACCTACATATTTTACAACTTTACAAACTAAATCACACTATTATATTCAAATTAGTGTTTTCTTTTATTGTTTAATAAAAATACCATAAATAATATGTATATTTTGCATTATTATTGTGAAATATATAAAATTAAATGATAAATATAATATTTATCATTTTAAATATTATACTATTTAATTTTTATGAAATAATTTATATTACTATTTTACATTATTGTAAAAAAAATTAACATTAATATGTATAATTACTTTATTATGAACAAATATAAAATAATATCATATTAATTATTTTAAATATCATATTTATAATTTTCACGAAATTAAAAAAAAAAATATATTATTTAAACATAATTTTCAATTTAAAAGATTGTTTAAATAAAGAAAATCAAAAAAACAAAAATCAATTTATAAATTAAACAAATTTAAAGGACCTAAATGTATAAAAAAAAAAAAAATGAAACGCAAAATTTGCGTTAAGACGAAAAAATGCGTCAATCTGAGGACAGAGAGGGTTGGGATCGCAATTTGCGATCAGTTTTTGGGATCGGTTGAAGCTCACCGTACTGCAATTTTTGCGTTTTGCAGTACGGTTGGAGAATGTCTTACCATGGTACTCTGATTATGCATCACTGTGATTACATAATACACTATCCTTTTTGTTTTTATCTCACCTTTCATTTATTATTATTATAATTATTATTATTATTATTATTTGATATTCAATTTCGTTATGATATTACCGAAAAGAAAAGAAAAAAATGAAGACAATAAGGACATAAAATGAAAAGAAAATTATAGAGCAATCAGTAGATCATTAAAGCACAACACATCAATCAACTCAAAGTTGGGTTAGATGTGTTTGATGAGAAAAATGATTCTAAAGGATAATTATTTAGAATTATGTAATTAGATGAATAGTGAATTGAAGTTGATGTGATGTGTACAGGGACAGACGCATACTAGCAAGACTGAGGGGGCGCAAACGTAACATTTACAAAGTGCAAAAAAAAAAAAAATATTTATTATATGCATGTTCTTATATATTTTATCACTCATATTACATAAATTCAAATCTTATTAAATATATATATATATATATTTTTTTCTTTTGCACTGGATATTCTTACAGCATTAGCATTCATAGACTTTCTTATAAAAATAAGTATTTTTTTTAGTAAAAAAATCAATGACAAACACAATTTAGTAGCTAATTTTAAACTTATAATTATAATTTTAAGAACACTTAAAATTTCAATATGTATAAAAATAAATATTGTCTTTCGTGAAAAATCGATATAACTCATTTATATATGTTGCCTACGACATAATACATAAAAAATGCAAAATACTTAAGTTTTGAGAAAATCTCTTTGTAACTATTTTACAATATAATTATATATGTACTATTTTTTTTAAAAAAATTTGCATAGGGGTCTGTGCCCCTACGGGCCCCTGCCTCTGTCCGCCCATGAATGTGTATGAATGATTGATTGATATTATTTTAATTATATTAATAATATTAAAAATAGTAAGATTGATTTAAAATTGAGTTAAATTTAATTTTTGAATGATTTATTTTACTATTCAATTTATATACAATCACCCCTATATTCATTTAAAAAAAAAGGAGGGATTTATTTACAAAAGAAAATTGAGTGATAAATGTAGGTGGACTAGTTTTATCACGTGGTTTTCAATAGCCGGCGGCAAAAAGGGCGTTTGTGTCAGTAAACAAATCACACCTACGCTACCCGATGTCATTCTTTACACGTATCTATGAATTTAATATTGGTCACGTGGCACGCACTCAGAACCGCACTCAATAAATCTGGGAAATTTATATATTAAAAATAATAATAATACA